GTTGGTTGATTTAGGTAAAACAATCCCTTCCTGTGAGAAGATATACTGCTACCCAATGCTACTTATTACTAACTTATTTCAAAGCAATACTCGTAATACCATTAGATTCTGTAGTGAGTCCTTGTTTTGTGAAATAGGTATCTCGAACGTGTGAAATGCAGTTGTTTCTCGAATGTGGAAATCCAAGCTCCATAAATATATTGCAGCGTGGGCTGACGTCTACTGCGACAGCGAAATAGCTTCATGTTCGTCGAATTTTCGGAATCTCCTGATGGATCTCTTATTGGTGGAGGAGGTGAAGTTGAAGTTTAGGCAGATTCTGAATGAAAGAAGTACTTCATATTCGACCGTGTAATTTGAGATGCACTATACTATTCACAGTTCGCCCTCTACACCATCAAACGCCTCCTCCTCCTAGCGTTTGCGGAACTTCCCAAGTCCACCGCGGCATGAGCGAGATAAGACCGCTCTGTTGTTAATCAGTAACATGTGTGAAACTCACTGTGCTATCCCTGTATTGGTGGTGGTATTGATAGTCAAGACTTGCACGTCTCACCACTCACAGTAGCTCGCAATGCGTTGGAGATGAGCGCTCATTTCAATTGTTCATTCCAAGATTCCTTACAGAAACCCAAAGCGCCAACAAGCGCTCCCAGTTTCACCATGCATGCGGCGTTAAATGTTTGACATTCAGGGCGCTGTTTGTCGACGGGGGGCATTTTGTATTATCATTGCTTCCCTAGTTCCGGTTTACAAATCTCACTCTGGTAAAACTTGTGAACTCTTGTGAAGCTGAAGTAAGATCGTCTAGCCACTATCCTAAAACGTGTCAACTCGAGAAACGGCTGCCTAGATGGGTCGACACATCTATGGAAAGCAAAATGCCCCCCCCCCGTCGACAAACTGCGCCGACATCAGTCTGATAGATCACACCAGTATTGGCGCTAGATCGTAAAAGGCGTAGTAACCTAACAGCAGCCCTGGGCAAGCATCTCCTCGAAGAGCACCGCGTTGCGGTCTATAATAAGCGGTGAGACGTGCAGTTCCTTGGCATGACTACTAATACAAGGACGGCACTGTGTTACGCATGTTGCAGCTAGCAAAGCTGCCCCATCCCGGTGGCGCAGTGACTTGGGAAATTCTATCGGAAATGCGAAGAAGAGCTTGAAAGGAGCTTGAAAGCTAGGATGAATTGACATCTTGAGCGCGTTCAGGCTTCTGAGGAGGGCGATCTGGTGCAAATGCAGCCGATAGTTAAAAATCTATCTAACAACCTTGCTGGCACAGGAGAACTACATCAAATTGACAGCAATGTCGAGGTTACAATTGGGTAAAAGCTGGACAAGACAAGGACATAGTCGTCAGTAATCAGCTGGAATCGATTGCGAAGACCATGTCAACCATAAAACCAGTGTGGTCGATATGATCGTCAGTGTCTCGTCTGAACGTACTGTTTTCTCTAGTTTTTCTTAAGTACTGATTTTCTTGGGCAACCCTATCCAGCTTGCCCCCCCCCCTTTCCCACGAGTTTTGATCGCTATAGAAGAAGCCCTGGCAAAGCACGCCTAGATGTTCGAAGGATGGACATTCAAAATTTTCTTTAGGTACCACAGATCAGTTAGGATTCCCACTGAGTCCACCGGCTCCGACTTCATTCTGGATTTGGTTCTATTTGAGCGTTTTCTGCAATTTGTTATGCCTTGGACTCAACACCGTCTTCAGTGCTGTCAGTATAATAGAAAGACATCGAACGTTTAGGGTAAGCTTAGTGTCGTTAAATCCATTCTCATTTACTTTGCCATGTTCGTAAGTAGTTCTAATTCAGAACTGCTTCTATACAATAGTACTTGCATTCTCGCTGAGCGTGGTGGTGGGCAGTCTTTGCAACCTCGTCTATCAGATCCTTAGCCTCGCCGGTGTGCAATCAAAAGGCTTTGAGATATTCTCCATCTCTATGGATCTGGTTGTTTCGTTTTACTCCGCTCTGCTGGTGTTCTTTTTGGGGCTTAATCGCTTTGCTGCTTTCTCATCGACGATCCTCCGTGAGCGCCTTATGGAGAAGTAGGTTCGAGAAAGCTTTAAATCTGTGAATCGTTCTCAGTTTATGCATTCAGAAAGGTTGTCCTTTGTGTTCTACTGGGACTTCTTGTGTTCTCTTCAATGATTGCCGTGCTGGTGTTGGAAATGAGTGGAATGCGAAGGGTTTCCCATCAAAATACCATCTATGCTACCAAGTACATTTTGGTCAAGGGAAAGTTCACGCAGTTTAAAAAAATTAGCTCTTCAAATTTACCGATACGCTTTTCACTCACTATGATTGGATGTCAGTAGCAGCATCATTATAGGTGACAAGCCACATATTCTACACACTCCCAATTATCTCTTCCGTTTTCTACCTCTTCGCATACAAGTCGCTACGGTCCAAAAGAGAGGATGCTGTCAGTGATGTCACGAAATCGCTACTGAACCGAGCTGAAAGATGCAATTTGAAACAAGGAGTATCGATTCTCATAACCTACCTTGTATGTTCCTTTTTGTATGCTGAAGCTTATTATGCTGGTCGAATCATACTAGTAATGAGAGATTTTCTTAGCAAAGCCGAGGTAACAGCTTCATGCAGTTGTATGCTGAGCTAAGGGAATCAAGCGAACATCAAGCAATTTGAAATCAGTAATCACAATGATGCTTCCATAGCTCTGAAAGGCGATCCCGGCGTTTGCACGATTATGGGCAGAGGTGTTCATTTGTAAACCTGTAGTTGCTCCGTGACTCGACACTGGAAAAGAGAGTAGAAGAATCCATCACAAACACTTTAAATTAAAATCCTCGTTAGATGCCTCGAAGTATGCGTGTGTCGTATCTGCCAGCAAGCAGGAACTCGATGCATCCCTTAGCT